TCAACAGCTCTGAGTTCTTTTAAATAAACCTTGTTACTCCTGTGTGTTGTTTAAAAATATAGAGGTACATGATAAACCATAGTATACCAGGTGCAAGATTCACAGTATGGCAACAGGAGCATCTCACACTCGTGGCACCACGTGTGTACATCAACAATGTACGGCAACCTCCACATATAAGTTGAGCCATATCCATTCCTGCGTGACATATGTGAAAAGATCAATTTTTACACGTCCCGAGACTTCCTTTTCACCTATATGTCCTTTTTCACGAGAACAGTGCAACTGCACTCTCTGAATGGGAGAATATATGCGAATAGCAAGTGATAAACTCCTCTATCAACTATGCAGTTCGAACAAGAAAACTGCATCCTACACATATAAAGTTCAGTTAACTCATTATTACCAATCATGCCATACCCTAATCTAATTAAACAAAACAAAAAAGGTGGTCTTAGGCTATATCATAATCAATAAACCAGTAAAAAAAAAAAAAAGACAATCTTTCTCTATTGCAAAAACTATGCGTATGTAACTTTTGAGGGACAATAAATAAGCAAACTAGAAATATGTAAATATATCTGGAACAAAAAGAACAGAAAACGAGAAGAACTAGGAGAAAGAAAAGGTACCGGGAGGCGGGAGTTGAGGTGGGGGAACGGGAGTCAGGGCATTGCAGAAAGCGCAGCAGACATTGGTGGCACCTCTCGGGTACAGCAACACGCTTCTACACCCACTGCACACTATCTGGCTCTGCATCCCCTCTATTACATTCACAATAACAGTTTCACCGTAAAAATCACAACTTTATCATCCAATCCAATCCAATAGATAAATAGACAACAGCCCAACGAAACATAATAAATTCCGATTCAATAGAAAAAAGCGAAAGAAGAAAATCAATATACTTACTGGTTAAGCAATTGTTAGCCAACAGTTAGATGTGATTAGGTAATTATAGAAGAGGAGAAGAATGAAAATTAGGGCCAAGATTGGGGAAAAAAAGAATAAATAAATCGGGTATGCCGGTGCGGTGGTTTTTGGGATCGAGATTCGATACAGAAATATGAAACTATAAATAGAAATCAGAAAATGGAAACCTAACGGAGAGATTTTAGAATCGAATCGAGATGTTCAGTGAGGAAGGAAGGCAAGGCCAACTTAGGAAGGTAAGGGGGCAAATTAGCTAAGCTGCTAAAGATAGAGAGAGAAAGAGAGGGACGCGGTGGTAAATGGATGACCGGGTCAATCAACGTCGTCGGACGGGGAAGGTAATTTCAGATTAATTAGGAGGGAAGGAAGCTGTACGGCGGTTTCTCTCTCGTGGGGAGAGCCCAGCTTACCAGAAATAACGGAATAAAGTCCTTCTCTGGATTACCCCTCTTCCTCTTCTCCTATTTTTTACTTCTCCATTTTTTCGATTTCCACTTTCCATCTTTTGTTGTTTATTATACCTTATGGAATCTTCAATCGTGGCCATATTATGCAACGTTTTACATAATTAGAATCAGGATTTTTAGTTCTATTTTCTTGTTCCAGGGTTAACTCTCAAATTAGCACTATAAGATATAAATTGCTCTCAAATTAGTACTATGAGATATAAATATTGTTAAGTGACTAAATATGGATGTTAATTTTGTATATAATGACTATCTAACACTAGCATCCTTTGATACAGGTCAGATATGCAAAAGACAAAAAAAAAAGGAAAAAAAGAGAAGAAGTTCAAATTCAATTAAAACAATACTAGCGTAAATACTGTCATTAAATACAATATTAATTTTATAAACGTGAGCCTTTGTCATTTAATTTTCTTCGCTAATTAATACAATATTAGTTTATTAATAAAAAGTTAGACTTTTTTTTTTGGTTGCGTATACTAAAGTGATATTTATGTGCAAATTATTAATTTTTTGGGTGTGGATTGTGGGAAACGGATCTTTACGAGTTGATTGAGTTTTACTTGTCAAATTGATGTACATGAATTGATTGATATCGAATGTTTGGTGGAATAATAGTGGAATCATGTTATCTTCTCCGTTATAATATTACTTTTTAATTATTAATTTGGTCTAAATGTTACAAGATAATTAATTTTAAGGAAAGTTAGTGTCATTTTTAAAACCTAAAAGACCAGTAACACAGTTAGAAATCTCACAAGAGATTATTAAGTTATCCCCAACAATTAAAAAGTTATCAATATCTTCCACCACCAAAAAGAAGAAGAAAAAAAGATAAAAATAAACTAATTTCAGATTTAGAAAGAAATGGCATTAGTCACATGGTATTATTGAACACTAATTACCCTTACTGTTAGTGATGGCAGGGGCCCGGGGTGGGGCGGGGGCGGGGGGATTTCTTCCCTCGTTTAGAAACGGGCCCAACCCTAACCCCCGCCCGCCACCCGTTTGAAAAACTGTATATATGTACATAATTATATATATAATGATATTTTTAATTATACTATTAATTATACATGTCTATTAATAAAATTATTAATTATTTATACTAAATTTATTAATACATTTATGTTAAATTCCTAACTACACTTAATATAATAACACTTTTTTCTTAAAAAAACACAATAATAATTTAATGATTGTATTTGTATCAAAAGTGAAAATTTGATTATTTTAGTTATATTTGTTTTATCATATTAGATTGCATTCAAATAACCTTTGTTTAATTATTTTTATGAGTTTCAATTGTAAAGTTATAATAAATAATAATTTGGTGATGTGTTAATATTTTAGTACTTGATTATTTGCTCAAATTTAATTATAATAAAATTATATAATAAAATTTAATTTTAGTACTTCCCTGCAGGTGCCCCCGCGGGGGAAGCAACCCCCGCCCTATTGCCACCCTACTTACTATCAGAGTTTCGCAAAAGATGAACCCTACTTTTCTTATTAGATTGGAAGGTAACATTTCCACATTTATGTTACAATCCCATGTGCTATTGAAAGATGAACTTGAATTTATGCCCAACTTTCTTTTTTTGTCGTACCTGTTTCCTGCTGCCTTTTTGCCTACACAATTGGACACGTGAAAATTACTGCTAAAATACAAAATAGAGTATCCGCAATTCCACATAATCAACTTGTACTAGCATATTAAATAGACCCCTTACCATGTGAAATATATTAGAGAAACGTCCCAAGCTTTTGGATCAAGCTTGGGTAGTTGAAACCTGAAACCAAGGTTTATATGGCAAGAATTTAAGGACCATGAACAAGCGACTGCAAAAGCAAGATGAGGCGCACTAGTCCGAGCTCTACCTTGCCATCCTAGAGGCTACCAGTTTGTATACCAAGCCTAATAACTTCCTTCAGGACTTGATTGACATGGCTTAGCCGGTCTACTTGTTCAGCTTTACCTCAGCCATAGATCAAGTTCGCAAGATGTACCCCGAGTTGAACCTAGAAGCTCTGAGCAAACCATATAATTTCGATGCTAAGTAAGAGCGGCCATCTCGGCTCGGCTCATCCAATTCTAGGGCCGAGCCTCCACCAGCTTCAGTCACCTTAGCTCGTCATCACGTATGTACGGCCGAGGTTGGCCCTCTATCTGTAGATATCTCTTTTTGGATACTGTTCACGTTATGATGACTGACATCGCACTGAGAAGCTTAACATCTCCATGGCAGGAAGACAAGATGTTGACAAGGCCCAACCACTGCTGTGTCCTGTCAACGCAAATTAGACATGCACAGTCAATGTCAAATTTTAGGGAATTGGAATCCACTATCCTTCTCTCCAATCTATCTCCTATAAATATCTCTCCCACTCATTTTGAAGGATGCAGAGCCCCCGTTCTGGGCCTAGACACGTGGCAGCCCTGGAAGGCCAGAGTTGGGCTTGGACCCCAGGCCCATGGGAACCATCCTGGGGCACACCGCCGCTAGGGCTCCCCAGGGCTCCAGAGAACAATCCCGCAAAGGGCGGGGGGAATCCCCATCTAGCGCGGGATTGAGACTATCTCGGGCAGATTCCGAAACGTACGGAGGTTGGACTCTCGAGCGGGTATAAATGGTAACGCCCACCAACTACACAAGGTACGCTCCTTATTGGTGAAATATTCCCAACAGTTTTACTCATCGTAAATTCCGCTCACCGGAACACTAATTTGACCATCGGAGTGCCCCCGGGGACAACCTCGGGGGTCCCCTGCTAGTCCTTCTAGAGACCGTTCTTTGTTTGTTTTGCAGAATTGGGACACGCTCTTCTCATCAGCACGCCGAGCTCATCAGGTCAGCTCGGTCCGGGGAAGCTCAGCGCTTCTTCAGTTGGCGCCGTCTGTGGGAAATGAAAGGTAAGTGCAGTTGCGTTGATGGCGAGAACGCGTTCCAAACAAACCATAGAGAACACCGATCCCAGAGCCGGTGAGGAGTCCCGGCGAAGGGAGATGGAGGTGGCTCGGGACGCTGGGGGCTCAGCCCTTTCGGGGGAACGGAGACAGCAGATCCTCCAATTCATGGCGGAGAACCTCCCCATATTGGAAGACATGATCCGACAGGCGAAGGAGGGGGATGAAACTGGGGGCGCACAAACTTCTAAGGCGAAGGAGAAGGAGAAGGAGTCACCCCTCATTTCCTCAGAGGATGAGTCGCGGGACCTGCCCTCCAGAAGGAAAAGGCCACGAACTCCCCCTCGGCCACGAGCCTCGGTGGTCGGAGATAACGAGAGGTACTCCCGCGATCGGTCCGCCAGGGCCGACCGAGGAACCCTTCCCCGAGGAAGCCTGTGCGGGACGAGGCCGAGCGCTCCCCCGACCGATCTGTCAAGAGCCGACCGCCCAATCTTCCCCCTTGGAAGCCGGTCCGAGATGAACTCGAGCAGATCTTGCGGCCGCAATTGTACGAGAACAACTACACAGCCTCGCCCTTTATTCGAGGGATAGAGGACTACCCTCTACCCCGGAGATTCAAGATCCCGAACATTGAGCTGTACGATGCCTCGACCGATCCGGAAGACCACCTCTCGATCTTCCTGACACATATGCGTCTGCAAACAGCGGCGGACGAGATCCGTTGCAAGACCTTCCCCATGTTCCTGAAGGGTAGGGCCCGGCTCTGGTTCCAGGGTCTGGTACCGGGGTCTATCCGAAGTTTTTCTGAACTGGCAAGGCAGTTCGTCGCCCAGTTCATCTTTTCAAAGACTTATTCGAAGAACGCGGCTCACCTGATGGCAATCAGGCAGAAGCCGGACGAATCCCTGAGAAACTTCATGACCCGCTTCAACACGGAGAGCTTGCAGATCATGGACAAGGATGAGAAGGTTGTGATGGCCGCCTTCATGAACGGGTTCAGGACGGAGGAGCTCTTTTACAAGCTGGCCGAGAAGCCTCCCGGAGACCTGGAGGAGCTCTTGATCAGGGCGCACGCAACTGCTAACGCAGAGGAGGCCGCACGCCTGAAGCGGGAGTCAGATCGGGAGTTTGGAGATCGGAGAGGACGGGAAAACCTCCCCGAAAGCAAGGACGGTCCGGCCAAGAAGAACGTTTTCGACCGGCTCTCAAAGGAGAAAGCTCCAGCTCAACTGTCGCTTCCGGAGAAGGGGTACACCCCCTGACATGGCCTAGAGTTCAGATCCTGGCCGTTATGGAGGCGGAGGGCTTAGGGGAACGGCCGCCTAAGATGGGGACACCCCGGAACAAGAGAAACCAGAACCGGTACTGTGCCTTCCACCGTGATGTTGGACATGATACGGAGGGGTGCTGGGCCCTGCGGAAGGAAATCGAGGATCTGATCCAACGCGACTTCTTGGGATGATTTGTGCGGCAAGGTCGGCCAGGCCAGGAGTCAGGGCGTACCTACCGCGGAAATAGGGGCGAGGGCCAGCACCGCGACCGCCCTGAGTGCCGTGATATTCTCCGGGAGCGCTCTCCACAGGGGAAGAGAGCCACGCAGCCCGAAAAAATAGGCGACCTCCCCCCGAGGGGGATGATTCCCTGAAGCGCCTGCGCGTGGACGAAGAAATCACCTTCGGACCCAGGGATGCGGTTCCCCTGGCGTCCGGGAACTACGAGGTCATCGTGATAGACGTCGTAACCAATAACTATCAGGTGAAAAAAGTGTACATAGACCAAGGAAGTGCGGTGGACATCTTATTTTACCGGGTGTCCAAAGAGCTCGACTTGGAAGATGGACAGTTGACCCCGGTTCGGACACCTCTGGTGGGTTTCACCGGACCGCCCATCAACCCGGAGAGGATGATCACCCTGATGGTCACGGTAGGGCAGGCGTCAAAATGCCGGACCATCCCTGTCAGTTTTGTGGTGGTCAAACAGCAATCCCCGTACAATGTGTTCCTGGGTCGGCCCGCCTTGAACGCCCTCCGAGCTATTCCCTCTTCGCTCCACCTCAGCGTCAAATTCCCCACCCCAGGAGGAATAGCCGAGGTCCATGGAGACCAAGAGGTGGCTAGACCTTGCTACTTGGCCATGTTCCGGGGACAGGAGAAGGTGGTCGCCCAGACGACCAGTTTGGAGCCCTACATCTCGGGGGAGGAGGCCCGACAGTTGGATACCCAGGACGAGATCGAGGAGTTCCCCTTGAGAGAGGACAGGCCAGACCGGGTCCTCCGCATCGGCCCGTCGTTACCTTCCGAGGAGAAAGAGGGTTTGAAGGCCCTGTTAAAGGAATACTCCCGGGTCTTCGCGTGGACGGTTGAGGACATGCCCTGGATTCCAACTGATCTGACCGTCCACCACCTCAACGTCGATCCCCGCTTCAAGCCGGTGAAGCAGAAGAAGAGGAGTTTCGCCCCAAAAAGGAATGAGGTGATCAAGAAGGAGGTCGGCAAGCTGCTGGAATCCAAGATCATCCTGGAAGTGTATTACCCGACCTGGTTAGCCAACCCCGTCTTGGTGAAGAAGGAGGATCAGTCTTGGAGAATGTGCGTAGACTTCACAGATCTCAATAAGGCCTGCCCAAAGGACTGCTTCCCCTTGCCAAGGATCGACAGGTTAGTAGATTCTACTGTGGATTTTGACGTTTTGTATTTCTTGGATGCCTTCAAGGGATACCACCAGATAGAGATGGCCGAGGAAGACCGAAAAAAGACTTCTTTCATCACTGAGGAAGGAACTTACTGCTACCGGACAATGCCGTTTGGGTTAAAAAACGCTGGAGCTACCTACCAGCGCCTGGTCAATAAATTATTCCAGAATCAGATCGGCAAGAGTATGGAGGTCTACGTGGACGATATGATCGTCAAGAGCCGAACTGGTCGGCGGCTCATTCCCGACCTGAGGGGGATCTTGAATATCCTGTGGGAGAGTCGGATGCGGCTGAATCCGAAGAAATGCACCTTTGGGGTTAAGTCGGGAAGATTCCTAGGTTTCTTGGTATCCCGAGAGGGGATCCGGGCCAACTCGGATAAGCTCCATGCTATCATGGACATGGGTCCTCCGAGGAACGTAAAAGAGGTCCAGCGGCTCACGGAAAGAATGGCCGCCCTGAGTAGGTTCCTCTCGCGCTCCGCGGTGAGGGGGCTACCCTTCTTCCGAATTCTAAAAGCGCCTAAGGATTTTCAATGGACTGAGAAATGCCAGAGAGCCTTCGCCGACCTAAAAGCATACCTGGTCGAGCTGCCCACTTTGACCGCTCCGGAGTCGGGAGAAACCCTGTTCCTATACCTGTCTGCTTGTAACGAGGCCGTTAGCGCGGTTTTGGTTCGGGAGGACAGATACTCAAGAAGCCTGAGGTCTCGGGCAGAATGACCAAATGGGTCGTCGAATTGGTCGAGCATGACATCGGCTATCAGCCCCGCACCGCCATCAAAGCTCAGGCCATGGCCGACTTCCTTGCCGAAGGGTCCAGTTTGTCTATGGCCTAGTCTAGCTCTTTGCCCGAAGAGGTACGGCTGGGGAAGCCCTGGGTGCTGTTTGTAGACGGGGTCTCGAGCAAGGAAGGGAGCGGAGCCGGCCTGCTGCTCACCTCGCCCAACGGGGAAGAGCTGACCTATGCACTCAGATTTGACTTCCCGGCGTCCAACAATGAGGCGGAGTACGAGACCCTATTAACGGGATTGCGGATAGCCCACTAGATGGGTATAACTGCGATCAAAATTCGGAGTGACTCACAGCTCGTAGTTTGCCAAGTTCGCGGGGAGTACGAGACCAAGGAGGACATCATGAAAAAATACTTGGCCAAGGTACGAGAGGCAATGACCCTGTTTGATGTTTTCGAAATCGAGCGGGTGCCGAGATCACAAAACAAGCGCGCGAACGCCCTGTCAAAACTGGCGTCCTCCTCGTTTGATCACCTGAACAAAGAGGTCCTGGTGGAGGTAGTCAAGCAAAAAAGCATCGATCCGGTCCAGGTCATGGCCATAGACAGCCCGGACTCTTGGATGACTCCACTCGTGGATTTCCTCAACTCGGGTATCCTCCCTGAGGACAAAATTGAGACTCACCGACTACAGCTCAGGGCTACCAGGTACGCCTACGCTGGAGGGCTCTCTACAGGAGGTTATATTTGTCTCCCTGGGGCGACTATGTTCTTCGAGAAGTTCATGAAGACCTATGCGCGGCGCATGTGGGATCTCGGGTGCTGGCCAAAAAGTGCCTACTCCTAGGCTACTATTCGCCCTCAGCGTTTCATGATGCCACGACGCTAGTTCAGCAATGCCGAGCTTGTCAGGTGCACGCCCCGCTGCGTCACCAGCCAATTCAGGAGATGGTCCCCATCCACAGTCCTTAGCCCTTTGTCCAGTGGGGAATAGACCTGCTGGGGCCTTTTTTCCGGGTTCCCGGGAGATACGAACACCTCGTGGTGGCCATCGACTACTTCACAAATGTCTTGATATCTGACAATGGGCGACAGTTGGCTGAGAACCCCTTCAGGAGCTGGTGCGCCGAGCTCGGGATTAGCCAACACTTCACTTCGGTCGGTCATCCCCAGGCTAACGGCCAAATGGAAAATGTTAACTGGACCATTCTGTAAGAACTAAAAACTAGGTTGGAATTGGCCCAGTCTAACTGGCGAGAGGAACTTCCTAGTGTCCTCTGGGCCTACCGAACTACGCCGAGAACAGTCACTCATGAGTTCTCTTTTTCCCTGACTTATGGGACGGAAGCCGTGGTACCAGCAGAGATCGACCTCCCATCACCTCGGACACAGAATTTCGTTGCGACAAATAATGGAGAAGAACTGAGGTGTAACTTGGACATGCTGGAGGCCAAACGCGAGGAAGCGGCGATACGGATGGCTAAGTACAAGAGTCAACTCGTCCGCTATCATAACGCGAGAGTGAGGAATACGCAGTACCAGCCGGAAGATCTCGTCCTAAGAAAAAACTCAGTTAATCGGGTCCATAGTTCCAACAAACTTGACCTAAATTGGGAGGGGTCGTACAAAGTCCTGGAGACGAGCCGAACTGGTTACTGCAGGCTTGCGAAATTAGATGGAGTAGAGGTACCCCGCACTTGGCACTTTTCGAACTTGCGATTGTTCATAGGTTAGACTGATCCAAGGTGTTTTACTGTCTATTCTGTGGAACCTCCCTTTTCTGTTTTTGCCAAACTAAATAAATGTCCGACTTCGAACCTTCATTACAAAATTTATCGAAACCATTCGCTTTGAACTGTCATGCTATTTGATTGTTAATTTTACATTAGCACACTTAACGGGGGGCAATGAATGAATGAGATGTTTTTAAAGTTTGGGAGTTTGACGCTCGACCCAGGAGATCGGCGTAGCTCAAAGCCTTGAGGTCGAGTGTTCGGCCCAGGAGGCCGGTACGTCGCTTCGGTTGTTAGAATTCGGTTGCTAATAGTTTGATGGTTTGTTATCCTTGATAATTTAGTTGCTAGCTTAAAGTGGGATGCATGCTCGACCCGAGGGGCCGGCACGCTGCCTTGATGGATCAATTTGGTGCTCGACCCAGGAGGTCGGCGTATTGCTTTGATTACTAGAGTTCGGCGCAAGCAAAAATTGTGAGTTGAGAATAGATATTTCCATTCGGATTTATATGTACATTCAAAACTTACCTATTACAAAACTTGCCGAGCTATATATAAAAAAAAAAAGAAAAAAAAAACCTAGCTAAAGCCCAGCCTAGCCTACTGGCTCCTTCCCGAGAGCCCTGCCGGGAGCGTCACCCTCCTCCAAGGGAATCTCCGCCAGTTAGGCTCCCACGCCGCTTCTGCCCACCAGGTCCTTTAAGGCATACCCCTTGCAGTACCCATCGAAGAGCCAGTCTGACTTCTCCTCGGCGGCAGGGTTGTAGTTCTTAAACGCCGCCAAGTCGAAGCCAGGCAGGCCGAGCTCCTTCTCCTGGTTCAGGGCCCGCGTGAAGCCGACCTGAAGAATGGGCTGGTTGAGGAGGGCAACATCTTCAGCAAACTGTTCGGAAGAGATGAACTCCCGAAGCTCCAGGCTGACGGTGCCGGAGAGCTCAATGGCGTGGTCCGCCCTTAACTTCTCCACGCCCGCCCTCTCCCGGTCCAGCTCTGACCTAGTGGAGGCGAGCTGGACCTGAGCCGTTTCCAGCTCCTTCTCGGTCTTGCCCAACTTGGCCTTAAGGGAGTCCGCCTCCTCAAGGGCATGGGCAAGGCTTTGCTCTGT